AAAGCACCAACACCAAGGTTAAAAAAAAAAAAAAGACAGTCTAAGCCGGGAGGTGGTGGCCCAAGCCTTTGATCCTAGCACTCAGGAGGCAGAGGCAGAGGCAGACGGATTTTTGAGTTCAAGGCCAGCCTGGTCTAAAGAGCAGTTGCAGGACAGCCAGGGCTACACAGACAAACCCTGTCTCAAAAAAGCCAAAAAAGTAAATAAATAAAAACATTTTAAAAGGCAGAATCTAGAAGGCCCCAGAACCTGCCAACAGCCCTTTCCAGCCCATGAGCTCTCTGAGAAAGATCCAAAGCAGATGCTGCCAAGGGCAGAGTTCAGATTGCCCAAGTGCTCTTCCCCTAAGGCCACTGCTTTAGCCTGCTTGTCCTCATTTCTTAGTTCCCTTGCTTTTTGAAACCATCACAGTCTTCCTGTAAATCCATCCAGCACCCTAGGATCCAAATCCAGGACATTCTGTACAGTGGCGGCCCCGGGATGTCATCTCCCAAGTGCCAAAGCAGGATTCAAAGTCTGTCCCAGCTGCCTGTCCCTGAGCTCTCCCTGTGAATCCCATAGCAGCTCAGGGAGGCAGGACAGCCCCAAGGTAGAAGTTTGCAACTGGGGACCCAGTAGGCTTAGTCAGTGGGCTCCCTAGGTGGAGAGGTCCAGAAAAGAGGATAGTCCCCACAACTCAAAACAGAGCATGGTAGGTTCACCCCTGGAGCTCCAGCAACCTGGGAGGTAGAAGCAGCCAGGGCTGCACAGCGAGAACCAGGCTCAAACAAACAAGCAAAAAATATAAATATAAAAAGACACAAGTTCAAGACTAGTCTCAGCTACATTACATGTTTGAGGACACCTGGGCTGTGTGAGGCCCCATCTTAAAAAATCAGAAACAAACAAAAAAAGGTATTGCCAACTCAAGAGGACAAGGACATGTCCTGAGGGGTTCCTGCTTCCCAGCTCTGGGACAGTGATCAAGAATCTGCTACAATGATGGTGACATTAAAATAATGAGAGAAGCCCATGAATCCACACAAATATAAATCCATACACTAACAAGAAAACAAGCCGGGTGTTGGTGGCGCACACCTTTAATCCCAGCACTCGGGAGGAAGAGGCAGGCCGATCTCTGTGAGTTCGAGGCCAGCCAGGTCTCCAGAGTGAGTGCCAGGATAGACTCCAAAGCTACACAGAGAAACCCTGTCTCGAAACCACCCCCAAAAAAACAAAAAACAAACAAACAAACAAACAAAAACAACAAAAACAAAAGCATGATAAAAAGCAGAAGAGGTTACTGGCAGAGTCTCAAAAACCCTCCTTTAACAGCCATGGCCAAGTCATTATCAAGTGCAGCCTGGCGGCTGTGCCTGCAAGAGTATGCCAAGCATCAGGAAAGCTGGAAGGAAGTGCCCCCAAAGAGCCCGGCATCAGACTGATGCCCAAATCCATTTTCCATGAAATACGAGACCGAGTCAAGTTTAGGGTCACAGGCAGGATCGGCTCATGACTCTACCTGCTGTCAAGGCAGTGATACCAAAGAAAGAGCTTGGGAACTGACCCAGACAACAGGGATACCCCACAAACCTGTTCACCAATGGCAGCACAGGATCCAAGCCAAAGACATTATTGGGACACATCGAGAAACCCAGCCTGCTCATGTGTAATGGCGCACACCTTTAATCCCAGCACTTGGGAGGCAGACACAGGTAGATCTGAGTTCGAGGGCAGCCTGGTCTAAAGAACGAGTTCCAGGACAGCCATGGCTATACAGAGAGACACTGTCTCAAAAACAAGAAAAAGAGGAAGGAGGAGGAGTGGAGAGAAGGAGGAGGGGAAAGAAAAAGAGGAGGAGGAAGAGGAAGAGGAAGAGGAAGAAGAAGAAGAAGAAGAAGAAGAAGAAGAAGAAGAAGAAGAAGAAGAAGAAGAAGAAGAAGACAACGACACATAAGCAAACACACATATAATCTGGCCTGAGCACTCATTGGTGGTAACGGAACAGGATAATTTCTCTGATTCCAGTGGTCTTACTGCAGTGCCCTGATTATTATGAAACACACAGGGAGGAATTCAAGGGTGAATGGAGCCTGGTAAGATACTCCCAAAACTCTTTTGGAAAAGGTAAGTTTTCCATACTGTGTTTACAACTTTCTGAGAATCTGAAATTCTATCAGAGCAAAAGAATTTTTCTTCAGCCTCCACCCTTCCTGTGATAACAGCAGGTTGGGACTGGAGAGATGGCTCTATGGTTAAGCACACAACTCCTTAGCCAGGCATTGTGGCACATGCCTTTAGTCCTAGCTCAGGAGGCAGAGGCAAGTGGATTTCTGCAAGTTCAAGGACACCCTGGTCTACACAGTGAGTTCCAGGATCGCCAGGGCTACATAGAGAAAGTTCCTCAAAAGAAAAAAAAAAAAACACAACAAAAAAGAGCACATACTGTTCTTCAAGAGAACTCTAGCTCAATTCCTACACCCATGTCAAGTGGTTCACAACCACGCTTAACTCCTATAGGCAACTCCGTGCGTGCGCGTGTACACACACACACACATACACACACACACACACACACACACACACACACACACACACACACACACACACACACACCTGCCCCCATGGACACATTATTAAGAACAATTTCAAAAAGATAGTCAAGGTATTCAGGTGTATATTAAAATGAGGACTGAGGGGAAGGACTGAAGGCTGGGATGTAGCTCCGTTGGAGCACAAGAGAGTTAGAAGTTCAAGGCCATCCTCAGCTACATAGCAAGTTTGAGGTCAGCCTGAGCTACAAGAGACCCTGTCAAGATTAATTAATTAGAGATAGAATAAAAAGACGGGCTGGCTGCCATGGTACACCCTGGGGGTGTCACAGCTGAGGAGAGGTGCTCCTGGCATCTGGTAGGCTGCTAAACATCTTTCAACACCCAGCCCAGGCTCTCTGCAGCAAACGACTCTCCTCTGACACGTGTCAGCAGTGCTAAGAATGAGACACCCTGTTCATGGAAACCCCAGTGACAATAACAGCAAATTTCTACCCTGTTGTCAGCTCTCAAGTGGCCTTTGCCCGATGACCTCATCTTCCTGTGCCTCACGCCGTTCATCTGGGGGATGAAGACAGCGGTGGTGGGTGCTGAAAAGGCCACCCCAGGAGTAAAGTGTGATGGTGTCTGTCCTCTGCAGAGGTACTGAGGGCACTTGCTGTAATGTTGGGCTAATACAGATGACGGGTGACAGGCAACTGATTGCACCTGTTCGGACCACAGGTTCCTGCTCTTAGTCCTCCGCTAAGGGAATGACAGTCCCCCTGCAGAGGAGAGGTGAGAGGGGCTGGAACAACCCACTGCTCCAGGACAGACCCTCGCTGCCCAGGCCATGCCCACCCTGCTCAGACCCACCCACCCTGCTCAGGCCATGACCACCCTGCTCAGGCCACACCCACCCTGCTCAGACCCACCCTGCCCAGGCCATTCCCACCCTGCCCAGGCCAAGTCCACCCTGCCCAGGCCATGCCCACCCTGCCCAGGCCATCCATACCCTGCTCAGGCCATGCCCACCCTGCTCAGACCCACCCTGCCCAGGCCACGCCCACCCTGCTCAGGCCATGTCCACCCTGTCCTGACCATCCATACCCTGCTCAGGCCCACCCACCCTAGGCCATGCCCAACCTTGCCTAGGATATGGTCACCTGGTCCCTGTGTGCTCACCCTGATTTAAACCTTCTCTCATTTCAGTCCTTGAAACCCAGACATCAAGGGACCCACTGGAAGCCAGAGGTCCAGAACCAGGCTCAGACACAATCATTGACCCCAGACTCACTCAGTTACCTGTAAGCCCAGCTTCTTCAGGTGTTTTTTTGTTTTGTTTTTTTAATCTTTTTTTTTTTCTGTCTTTCTTGTTATAACAAAACTGTTCTCACGAATGTTTGGAGAGAAAAAAAAAATTAACTGACGGCAATGGAAACTCTAATACTAGAGAAATGTCAAGAAAGCAAACACTGGTTTCAATAAGCCCTGCCTGGCAGCTCATGGAAAGAAGCTTGAAACCATCAAAATACAAAAACCCCCTCCGCTGGGGAGCTCTTTGGAGGTACGAGCGCGTACTTAAGAAACATCTCCAACTCAAAACCCCCTTGGTGGACAGTGTTTTGGTGTGAGTCTACCCAGCCCCAGCCTATGATGGTCACCCACCTGTCCAGGCTGCCCTTTGCACTACCAGATACTCACCCACCTGCTCCATCTTCGGCTGGAAGGTCTGGGCTAGGTTTTCCAGGTGGAGCTCTGCAAAGATACCAGGAGTGGAGCTTTAGTGGGGTGAGCAGCAGGTTAGGGACAGGCAGGGCAGGACCTAGGCAAGGCCAACATAAAGCAGCCACCTCCCTAGGGGACCCCAAGACACATGCACACTTACTCTGCTGGATCCGCCTCCTGCAGGCCTTCCAGTAACACAGGAAGAAGGTGCTGGAGCCAAGCAGCAGAATCACCATGGCCACCCAGAAGAGCATGGGCCCTGAAACACAGTGCCGTCCTGTACTGTGTGGACAGTTAGGCCATTTGGGACAGCCCTAGGCACAGCCTACTTCCTCCTCCTCCAGGGACATGGGTCCCACTAAGATGAGTAGTTCTGGACCTTCCCCAGGCTGGACCATTCCTCAGGCTGGACCATCTGATTGAGCCCTCACCGGCCTGCCCCTCCCCCTGTCACCTGGCTCCAGGAAGCTGGTCAGCTAACTCAGGAAGTGAGAAAAACAAGCCATCTAGAGGGTGATACATTAAGGCATCAAGGAATCAATCAGAACAATTCCAGCATGGTTGGTGCCCGCCTGTAATCCCAGCAGTAGGGATGTAGGGGACAGTGTAAGCCTCGCCTGATAGAAGCTGGCTACAGGTGTGCCTGACTACAGGGCGTGGTCAAGGTGAGGTCAGGATGATGCGAGATAGGGTTTTAAGAGACTGCAAGGCACATGGGAGCCCCTTCTCTCTGGCCTGCCTGCCTTGCTGCCCCTGGCATGCTCTGGCTTGCGTTTGGCTGGTGTTTTTCTAATAAAGGATATTTTTATCCCAAGCTCCTTTATTTCTTAATATCTGGCGCCCACCAGAAATCCACAACCCATTCAGGCTTATTGTGAGCCCTCTGGGCCCAGCCCAGAAACTGCGTGACCCAAGAGGGCCCTAGGATACCGCTGCACTCCAGGTCTCTGCACTGCTTCGACCCAAAACCCTAGAAGCTTGCACCTTGACCCGCTGCTACCGAAGTTCCTGGGAACACAGTAAGTTAAACCTTCTAGGCCTGTGGCCTCTCCCGCACCCAAAGCGCTCGGGTCGGGCCCTCCACCCGGCTGGGAGAGTTTTAAATTTCCCACAAGCCTCCCTGCGGTTTTTACTGCTTTAGGCAGCAAATACCACAGCCGCTTTCAGCCGCAGGCTCTCATTTAGATCTAACTGCGTGTGCACGCCTGCGGCCCGGAGTCGAGAGCCGCACAGCTAGGCCCATTTTGCATTTTGTCCTGCCACACCAAACTGGGACAGTTTTTTTTGTTACTGCGGGCCTCCAAAGCCAAAGGAGCACTACCGCCCTGAACACCTGCGCCACCTGCTGGTCAAAGTGGTTACTGCATCTGGAGTGGAAGCATTCATCTAGCTGAAAACCTCCTACCGCATCTGGAGTAGACGCTGACTGGTAAATATGGCCAAATATTTATCGTTCTCCTCAATTGGTAACATTTTCACTTCTTATTATGTCTCCACAAAAGTGGAACAGTTTTTCAAATATTATAACATAAAGCATGTCACCAGTATGCCACACAATCCTACAGGACAAGCAGTGGTTGAGAAATCCAATAGAACACTAAAGGAGATGCTCCATAGACAGGCTGGGAAGACTAAACCCCCCAAACATAGGTTGCATAATGCTTTATTGACCCTAAACTTTCTTAATGCCAATGGCAAAGGACAAACAGCTACAGAAAGACACTGGACTATGGAAAAAACTGCTGAATTGAATCAACCAGTATATTTCAAAGATGTACTAACCTCGGTATGGAAGCCTGGACAAGTATTATGTTGGGGTAGAGGTTTTGCATTGGTTTCCACAAGAGAAGAAAAACTGTGGATACCATCAAAGTTGATCAAGATTCAAATTGAAAAAGACAAACCTCTCGACAAGGACAAGTGACAGGTATTTTACTGAGGTATATCTCATAAACTGAATAGAAACCTCCCAAAGGAAAGGGAAGTGTTTTGCTTCTATCTTCACAGGAAAACTCATCTCCAGAAGTCCAAGAACACTACATGGGTAGATACTTAAGGAGAGAAGGTAGCTATAACCATCAAACAAAAGGAACGGGCCATACAGTAAACTTTACAGCTGTCTCTCAAATACCTCTATTTCTCTTTATTTCCTAGTCCCTATTCAAGTAAATTAATGCTGGATTTAGAGTTGGATTTGACTTTCCTCCCCTAGAATACAAGCACATTGTTTAATTAAACTTTAGAGTTTCTGTATTATATCAAGAAGCCAATTGATGTAATACAGAACGAGAGAGGAATTTGGGGACTGTCTTTGTCTTTCTTGGCTCTTTCCTTCAAGGTGTACACCATCTCACTATCATTATTTTTCCATGGTTGCCTTTTCTAGCATACATACACAAGCAAACATTTCTCTGCTGTTTATATTTGAGTCCCATACAGCCAATGAACACCCGCCTGACAGCAATCCCTGGACGCTCCGGAAAAGGAATTGGGCCAAACCTCCTAGACTGCACTGGATCCAACTTACTCCATTTCAACTGACACTCCGACTAGAGCTTCAGGTACTGACTTCAATCAAGTTGAGGATTTCAACCTAGATCTTCAGTCAAGCAAATTCCATCTAACATGGACTGGATATAATCCATTAGAGACTTTCCCTGTACTAGCATTTTCTTCCCACAGGACCCCACGAGGCTACCATTGTCCCATTTCAGCAGGAAGTAACTTGGAGGATGCTATGCCCCCGTCCCCCACTATTGTCTATTAGGGTAGTGTAAGCCTAGTTAGGGATAACTTACTATTTTTATGGTTGGGATTGGAAGGAGGTGCTCAGGCTTGGACACCTCTTTTCAGATGACTTTAGGGTTTAGCCGGAATAGACGTAGTTAGGATGTATAATAGCAGATTATTGCATCTTATTGTATTTCACCTTTATGATTGTTAATTTTGGATACTTTACACTGTTAAGTTTTAATCCTCTTTTAGACTAAAAGGGGAATTGTAGGGGACAGTGTAAGCCATGTCTGCTAGAAGCTGACTACAGGTGTGCCTGAACACGCCTGTCAGGGCCTGGTCAAGGTGAGGTCAGGATGATGCATGATAGGGTTTTAAAGGGCTGCAAGGCACATGGGAGCCCCTTCTCTCTGGCCTGCCTGCCTTGCTGCCCCTGGCACGCTCTGGTTTGCATTTGGCTGGTGTTTTTCTAATAAAGGATATCTTTATCTCAAGCTCCTTTTATTTCTTAATATAGGGAGGCAGAGGTATGTGGATCTCTGTGAGTATGAGGCTAGCCTGGTCTACAGAGATAGTTCCAGGCCAGTCAAGGCTACAAAGTGTGACCCCATATCAAAATAAAATAAAGCTAAGTGGTGGTGGTACGTGCCTTTAGTCCCAGCACTTGGGAGGCAGAGACTAGAGGATCTCTGTTAGTTCAAGTCCAACCTGGTCTACAAAGTGAGTTCTAGGACAGCCAGAGCTGTTACACAGAGAAATCCTGTCTTGAACCCCCCCACATACACATAGATAGTTAGATAGATAGATAGATAGATAGATAGATAGATAGATAGATAGAATTAAAAACTAAACAAAAAAAGAGCCAGACTAAAGAAGGAGTTGAACTCCAGGAGGCTGAGGGCCATGGCTAGTTGGGATAGGGAGGGTGAAGTCTGGTTAGAAAAACTCTGAGACCATCAGCTCTTGAGGGCAGGCTCAGCACGCACTCTCTCCATTAAAACAAAGGAGAGAGCTTCTGGGATGGCTCAGAGCACTCACTGCAAACCTGATAACACGAGTTCAATATCTAGAACCCACGTAAAGGAGGAAGGAGAAAACCCCACAAAAGTTGCTCTCTAACTTCCACACATACACCATGCACAGGCATGCACACTCAAACATCACACACATGAACGAATTTTTTTTTCAAAGCCAAAGGAGGGAAACCGAAGCTTGTCTAAAGTCACCTAGAGAGTCACCACCCACCACCCAGGCCAGGCCAGGTGGCTTCAGTATCCCACATCCTTTTTACACACGCACGCACGCACGCACGCACGCACGCACGCACGCACCCACCCCCCCACACACACACACAATGAGCGCTCAATAACAAGGATCTAACACAGAACCTAAACACGCACGCACGCACGCACCCACCCCCCCACACACACACAATGAGCGCTCAATAACAAGGATCTAACACAGAACCTAATGCATACAAGGCAAGTGCTCTACAACTGAACCTAGCCTAGCCCACACCTGTGCCCTTACACAGCCTACTCTGGTGATCTTAATTACGCAATGGCTAATTGGGTACAGGTCTCGGGTGTTACTGCTCAAGTATCCTTTGTTTGATATTGGGCCAAGATCCAGGGTAGCCTGAAACTTTCTGTGCAGCCAAGGATGGTCAAGATCTCAGGATTTCCTAACTCACCTGCTCAGAGCTGGGTTGCAGGTGTGTACTACCACACTGGCCCTATGTGACTCTGGGAATGGAGCCCAGGCCCTCTGGCATGCTAGGCAAGCACTCTGCCTACTACTGAGCCACAGCACCAACCCTCAAAGACTTTTCTAGGGTGCCCTGAGAACCGTTAACTTGAGAACTATCGCCACCTGGTGTCCCTAACAAGTACTGCTAGTCCTAAAGCCAATTCCCTGATGTTCACCTCATTAGCATGAACAGTAACTGCCTCTCCCCAGCTCCGGTAGTATGAAGACCACACGTGTGTTACATGCTGACAACCCTGGGTTCCTGCTCGCTTTTCATTTTACATCTGAGGAAACTGAGGAAGAAAGGAATTAAGCTCCTAGCCATTCAGTAACTCATTCAGTAACTTCTTTTTTAATAGGGCTTCATGTGGCCCACACTGGCCTTGAACTGACTACATGCCTGCCTCTGTCCCCTGAGTGCTGGTGTGTGCCTGTGTTAGGTCGGGTGTGTAGAGCCAGTTCTCTCCTTCCGCCTCTCCATAATTTCTGGGGATCAAACTCAGGTCCTTAGATTACATCCTTGGGCAGGGCAGAGGGCAAGTGAGCCATCGCACTGGCCCAATCTAGAATTTCTCCTTCCTCTACCTCTCAGTATTGGGATTACAGACACACACTGCATGCTCAGTCAGTCAGCACTGGATTACAGACACTGCATGCTCAGTCAGTCAGCACTGGATTACAGACACACACTGCATGCTCAGTCAGCACTGGATTACAGACACACACTGCATGCTCAGTCAGCACTGGATTACAGACACACACTGCATGCTCAGTCAGCACTGGATTACAGACACACACACACTGCCATGCTCAGTCAGCACTGGATTACAGACACACACACTGCCATGCTCAGTCAGCACTGGATTACAGACACACACTGCAT